CAGCTACCGAAAAATGAAGTGATGCGGGAAGGATGGCTGAAAAAAATAGGAGGCTATGTTTTACCACCAAAAGTTGAATTTGGTAAGTTTGATATTGTACATAAACGTGCAAAAGTATATTAATTGAAAAACAAAAATAAATGAAAAATAATATTTTTAGTTAATAATATAACCTCAAATTTTGTATTTACAACTGGAGTAAAAATGTCATGAAATGTTATTATATGAAAAGAAAATAATAAAAAAGACAATCAAATATTATTAAGTATTAGTACTTTGTTCATGTATATCAGTAAAAATATTTTACAATTAAAAATATGAAAATCTTTAATTTGAAATAAAAATTATGAAGCCACATTTAATACAATGTATTAAGTTTTATTATTTATACATTATATTATTTTCAGCAAGGATATGCTCAGTTCACTTTAGTCAAGAGTCCTTTCATCAAGGTCGAGCACGGAAAGACCCTGTTAAGAAACGCCACCTACTACCATCGGCTGTGCCAACGTTATTTTTAAATTGTTCGGAAGCTCAAAATGTAAACAAGTAAATATATAAAAACACATACACATTTGTATTTGTAACGTGGTGTTATGTAATTACATAAATGTACTTCTTTACAAGGAATGCGGTGGCTGAACCGAACCTCAAGTTCAATGTCCTCCGACGAGAATTCCCATTAGTTGTCAATTCTGAAAGAAGAATAGGATCTTCAGATACAATTTCACCATCAACTTCTCATGTAGTTGTAGAAGACAACATTGTAAATATTCGTACGCCAAAAGGAATACGTAGAAGGTAAATATTTGAAGGTTTAATTTAACAAAGGGATGATTAATAGTGATGTTCTTTTAGAAGTGACTGGTCGGATGCAAATGTCGACATTGAAGAAGGTCCACCGGTGGCATTTGGCCCTGAAAGACAAGTATGCAATTCAACACCAAGAAGGTATGCTCACAGTGATATTTCTGAAATTACTTTTCAGCAAGGTTTTATTTTTAATGATCTTTTTTATTCTGTTGAGCAGGTCTGTGGCAAGAAGACATGACAATTTAAAAAGTACTCCACATTTGACGAGGTGAGCATGAGACATAAAAGACAAAACATAAATTTGTAAAAAAAATTTATATTATTTCACAAATAAATAATAAACATTGGATGTTTTACAATCAGTATGTTATGTTTATATTTAAACATGACTTTTTTAAATTTTCAGACTTGCAAGAAATAAACACCGTCGACAAAGCAGCAGTGATCCACTGAGTCCAGCATGGAAGCGTCGAAAACGGTATTTACCAATTTTACAATATTTCATATATTATAAATACTTCACAGGATCATTTCTGTACTATATCTTCACAGTACCCAAAGCAAAGGAAATAATGTCCAAACACTGTCAAGAAATAGAAAAAGAATTACATAAACATTTTTTTAAGCAAATCCACAGTCCTTCTGTTTCAGTGATTTTTGGTACGACAAATTTGAATATACTGATTCCTATGATAATTGA